GGCAATCAAGGCAGCATGTTAGGATCACCAGACACATTTTTGACATCGTACGTGCTAAAACAGCATACCATTTTTTTCAGTGTATTCCTTATTCCTGAGTATACGAGTAAAAAGCCTCAATGCAGAATGTGACAGTTCATAATCACTTGACAACGCACGAGCAAAGGCGGTGCGACTAGGGGTGAGGTAAGAGAGTCTGGCGCGTAGGAAAAAATGCCGATGTAGTGCAAACTGCGGAGAGAAAAAATACCCGCGGGCATTGAATCCAGTCTTGCCTGAGTCGATCTGCAATTACTCCGTAATAATTACAACACTCCCTATCATTAGATGTCGCGGACAACTGCAGACGCGCTTAGGCGATCTCGCTGAGAACAAGGAAAAATTCTCACTCGTTAGGATTGTCCAAGAAATGAGTGGCTCGGGACTCATGATCTTCCGAAATAATGATGTCAAAGAACCTCATCTCGACGAAATGGGTCAGTTTTGCGTGTCATGAAATGTATGTTTTGAAATTGATTCTTTCAGCTTAGTAAAAGTAACGGGATCGATGGTAAGCAATAGATGCTGAGTTACTATCGTCCTAAGTTTAATAATAAATGAAAGGAAGTCAGGCAAAACGTACTCAAAGGTGGAAACTGGATTGTTCAGTACAGCGACCGGTATAGTTAAAGCCACACCGGTTTGGAATAACAAAAATGTAGACTTTAATTTTGCGATGCTAAACATTTTTATTAACAATCAAAAATATCGTCGAAGGAGGGTCATAGGGAACATATTAATCCACATCTTACAATATTATGATGGTACAAGCCTTTCAAATAAATTTTGTCGAAGAGAAGTAACACCGCAGGTAAACAGCTATATCGCTTCTCTTCAATCATGAAATAGTTTTCAAAAGTCAATTTTCAGTAGTTTTTGGTGTTATTTGCACTAAATGATAGTGTAGTTATCTTAATTTTCCTCCCTCCTAAATGCTTATATTGCTTGACTGCGCTACTAATGACGATGGATGACGTCACCCTCTAAGGCTTCTCTTGTTTTCTATCGGATTGATCTCACAATCAATTAGAGGCAAAACAGCACAACGCAACCAGAAACTAAAATATCAATCACTACTTTGACCATAGCCCCTTGATGCAACTATTCGTGATCCGGAGCTGTCCATATTGCCTACGCAAAAACTGAAGGCGTTCTGAATTTTCTTGCGATTACAGAGTTTCACTCACGAGCAAGAACGGCGCTACGCAACTGAAGGCTAAAATATCAATCATCACATTTATTTTCGCCCTATGATGCACTCTGAATAAATAAGTTGGATGATTTCAACACAATTATTCAAAATTGGTGCCCAACACTATTTTATTGATACTTTGTTGTAGACTTATTGGAATTTTACTCCAACTTATTATTATGCTCTAAGTAATTGGAACTGCACCGATAAGTTGGAGTACATCTTCGGTATGTTTACTGTATAGTGCCAATAGAGTATGCCGATGTCATTAGCTGTGTTGAAATCATCCATTTATTGCAAAATCCGGCACAAAACATTTAACAAGATTCAAAATTTGAAGTTAGAGCTGATGATTGGAATGAGTATTATATTATTTTTCATTTGACACGCGCCAATTCAAATATATATACCGCTAGTTTCACCGTCACTGCAGTGTACAAAAAATGAAAAGTTGAACTTATTTTTATCGGGCTGCATTATGTTGATGAAAATTACCTTTCTCTCGATCACTTTTTATCCGGTGTTCTCAGACGATAGCTATTTCGATGATAGTAAATTTCGATAGTAAATTTTAGTAAGTTTTAACAATTTAAGATGTGACCGTTAGTGTTTACCGAAGTCGAAGTCGAAGACCTGATGATGATGATTTATATCATCGAAATAGCTATCGTCTGAGAACACCGGATAAAAAGTGATCGGGAGAAAGGTAATTTTCATCATCAAAATGAAAAGTGATAAAGCCTCCAAAAACACTAACCCTCACCAACACCTATACTTTGAACGGGTGTTCAATGCTAGAAGTTGGTAAATTCAATGGTGAATTCTGTTTGCCTTAACTGGCGAGCCTATTTAAGTCCAAAATCAGATTTAAGGATAGCATCGGAAACTATTGTGTATTCAAATCCAAACAAAGTGGTCACAAAAAAATATAAACGTTGACACCCGACAGGAATATTCCTTCCTCCGTTTATTATTGTTTATTAATACTGCGAGACGAATTCTGCAAGGTGGTTTGCCTTGAAAATGGATTTGGTACTGGGTTGATAACCTGCTTCTTCCACGATGCGGTTCCCTCAATCAATTGTAGGTTCTCCCACCTCATTACGGACCCTTTAAAATATCGTTAGCTTTCAATACAAGTGCGAATGTTAGTCAGAGTGGGTCAATTGCATAGTGTGCATAAGTGATATGTTTTAATGGTTTACGATCACAGGTTACAAACATTTCATAACATTGGCCCTCACAGTTTTTTGTATTACAAATTGATGGCATTAGAGTTTTTGGAAAAACTGCTTAACTTCATCAACTTAGGAAGTGAGTTAAACACTCTCCTCCACCTTGGTAGCTTTACAAATGCTTGCAGTTGCCCTGGTGTGTGTATCACTATTCTATGAAACGAGATGGAGAAAAGCATGGTATACGGTTATGCTCCGGATGACGGTATCCCCACTCATTACCATTTTTATCACTACATAAAACGCTTTTTATCCCATATCGACGCTTAATGTAAAAAAAGATCAATCTTAACTGAAACACGCAGCATCTATAAATTTTAAGACTCCATAGTAAATATTACCATAAATTACTTCATATTCATCATGTTACGTATGCATTTGCAAGATGCATTAAATGCATTCTCGTGCGTGAAATTTGTATGAATCCTGATTGAATTTTAATGGAAGTATACATCTTAAAATTACTTTCATTTAGCATCCTATGACGTAAATGTTAAGTTGGAATACTTGCGAAAACGCTACAATTTATTGAGCGAGTTGTGCACTTTTGATTCTACATGCTTTAAATCCCTATTTCAAAATTAGAAATTTTTTCCACGATGAATAATTGATCAAGTAATGTTTTTGCATAAAAATTCTGGCGGATTTTTTCTTCCTCATCTTAAAGGAAAATGAAGCCGAGTTAACCGATGCCAGGTTCCAATCGCTTTAAAGTCGAACTTTGCTCCATCAACACACCTAACTGAGAAGGCGTGCTATTTCGATCAGTTAACCTCAATATAGTAGCCTGAATCTATAGTATCATCAAAAATGCTCATTAAAGAATCAACCAGACCATCATTCAATTCGCGTTATCTCTCTACAGTTATTTCGGAGCTTCTTTAAATACAGCGTCGATGAGGCTTAAAAAATAAAGGACGTATCATATGTGATAAATGACCAGCGGAAAAAAATAAACAGTCATGGCTTTGTGAAGATTACGCGCTTTTTAATGGTATACATTGGTTCCCAAAGCAATCGTGCGACTACGCTGTCATAATGAATGCATTGTTTCATCGGTATCATATTTTTATTTCAATGTTTCTTTCTTCTTTTTAAAAAATGAGATGGAGGACTTCCTTCTCCATCCCTGTGTATAGGCATGGGAGAAAATTGTATGATGAAAAACATCAGTCAAAAAGAAAATCATTGATTTTCTATCCGTTGTTAAGGCGACACGCCTTGCAGTGTTAAAAGCAACCATCCAACAGAAATCGATTGAATATTTGCCTCAACTGTGGACGATTAATGATTTGAACTCAACAGGGAGGAACCAAATTATTATGGCAAAAAAAGGGTGCACTTTGCTCTGCTTAGTTGTTTAGAATAACCCTTTAAGCATAGCTATGCAATTGGCTCTTTTTTATCTGAATTGATTTAGTAACCGATAGGATCTGAGAGGGAACTAACGACTGTGCTTTTGGTTCCTTTTTCTGAAATAACTAAGCCATCAACTGCGCCATTGGTTCCGTCTCTGAATCGATTTGGCTCATTTTGAATTCAGGACTGGGAAATCAAGTTTTTGAAAATTTTTTAAAAAAAAGCAACAACTTTTGCAGCAACTTTACTTTTCTTGGTCACAATCAAAGAAACAAAGTTTCTCAGTAAAATTATACTGAAAACCAGATTTCTCAAATAGAATATTTGTATTATATAATAAATAAAACAACAAGTGGACCCTTTTTTTTTTAAAAAAAAAAAAAAAAAAAAAAAAAAAAAAAAAAAAAAACTTGATTTCTCTCCTGTTTCATCAGGTCTAAATGGATCGCATTTAGCAAAAAAGAGCCAGCTCGATTAGATTGTTAAAATGTTGCCTCTTCATGTTTATCTAAAAAATGTCCCAGAATGGCAAATAGATTTGGCTTCGCAACCTAAATTTATTATATTTAAATTAAATAATTGTGTAAATTTCAATTCTGTGCATGTTTTATGTATCTTTAAAAGAAAAGGAGAAGTTGCGCAGTTTTGAAAATACTGTAATCGCACTGGTTCCTTTTTGCTAAATGCGATCCAAATATGAGACTCAATTTTCTGCATTTGATAGAAATTTGGCTGAGGGACTCACATACTTTTACTTCCCACCAAAAAATTGTAAATTTTAAAGAAACATAATTGTGTAAATTTTAATATTTTACGTATATTGAGTAAAAAGAAGTTGCATGATTTAAAAACAATGGATTTGAGCTGGTCCTTGTTTTGCTAAATGCGTTCCAACACTGGAAAAAAAACCACATTGGATTTAGGTTCCAGACTCTTAAAAACATCGACAAGAAAAGATACTCTTCATTCAATCAGATTCAAGCTTAAATCAAGAACCAAGCCTCTTAATTTGAGCAGATTTCCTTTTGATTTAAGCTTAAATCTGCTTGAATCAAGAGTCCTTTTTCTTGTCAATGTTTTCAAGAGACTGGACTCTAGATCCAATGTGTTTTTTTTCCAGTGAAATATGAGACTCAATTTTCTGCATTTGATAGAAATACGGCTAGAGGACTCACAAGTAAATATCCTGATTTGGTTCCCTGTGTCCGATTTTTTCCGTCTCCTGTGGGCAGTAAGAAACTGAAGAGAAGTGGCCTCTGGTTGCCACGCGTTTCACGTAATCCACAAGCTCGGACACACCGCAAACCACGAACTGACCCGTCGCTGATTGCTGATCGGCGCAACTGGTTGCTCCTCGCTAGCGCCGCGGTTCAACCAACTCCTGATCGCTGATCCGGCCCCCGCGGCTCCGCTGATCCTCCCCACTCCTCCCTGCTCACAATCAGCAGTGCTGCGTTGCCAACATGACGTAGCGCTGCCCGATCTGGAGGTGACGTCATCGTAGGGAATCTCCATTGAAACTGGTTTCGAATTCTGCCGTGCCAAGGAAGAACGCCCTCTGGAACGTTCGAGAGCTGTCAAATTTCCTTTGATAAAATGTTTATTATGGGAAACATTATGAATATTTTTTCTTGAAATTTTCAGAGACTTTCGATCAATATACGAAGAATATTCTCTGAAAATTGGAAGAAAAATATTCATAATTTTACCAGAGAATTCGTATTTTATCGAAGAAAATTTGGCAACGCCTGAAAGTTCATAAGGCGTTTTTCCTTAGCACGGCAGAACTGGATCCAAACAAAAGCACAATGGCCAAAGTGAAAAACCACGTAGCTCCGTTAGCGACGTCAAAGACTTCCTGTGTCATGCCTACTTTATTTTTTCTCTGGAAAACCAGACGATTTAATTTCTTGAAAATTTCTTTGATTTTTCTTCTCTTTCAAAAGAATACTCTGTATAAATTCTGAGCGATAAAGTTGATTTGTTTCCCTTCAAACAAATGAAATACGAGCGGATATTTTGAAACATCGCAATGGAGATTCGTGGTTTCGCACTTAGGGCATTGATATTCATCAGTAAATATTCCATCCTGCTGCAATTTTATGTTAACTTTCCGATACTTCTTTATTGACTTGTTTATTCTTACCGTTTTTAGAGGCATGCATGCAGAGCCGGATTAAGGGGGTGGCCACATGGGCCGCGGCCCATGGCGGCAAATTAAGGGGGCGGCAAATTTTGCAATTTTTTTTTAAATGTAGCTTTAAAGAAAATCCGGATTCAGAAAAAACAATTACGAACGAGAAAAAGTGACAAAACTCTCATTTTCTGAGAGTATATCTCTAATTTTGTCGTCCTTCTGTGACACAATAGACAGCACCTTTAATTAGTCGAGTTAAGACTAAGATAGAACCCGAACACGGAATTTGGCCTGGAACGGCGCGGCGCAGAGAGCAATGATGACGAGAACGTGAGATGAGAAAGAGAAACCCTCGGCGCGGCGGTCGGCATGTAACACATATTAGCGCCTACAAGACTGCATGAATACTTCACGCAATGCGTCAAACACAGTGCGTGCAGCAGCGATCGGCCCGAAACGCAAAGCGCGTGTAAGACTGTAGGAATACTTCACGCATTGCGCCAAACACAGTGCGGTCAGCGCGGCGCGGCGGCGGAAGTTAAAATTATTAAACCACATTAATGTTTGTTTTTTCATAAGTTTTTGGTTCATTTCTTATAAATGGAGGGCCTTGTCCATACAGAGATAGGGTCACGGAAATTAACTTTCACGCCAAGTTCCGTGAACTTTTGCTAGTAGTGTTGACAGGGCTTTCGCAAAAAATGTGACCAACACGAGTAAACGCGTCTTATGCACCTCTCTCCCTCCGGCACGTTCACTTGATGGTTTTTATTGATTTTTTGAAATGAATGAGAAAGGGGCGGCAAAATACAGGCGGCCCATGGGCGGCAAGTAAGTAAATCCGGCCCTGGAGGCATGCTGTCCTTAGGAAATAAGAAACAAGGTACGAATCGATCGAGTATCGCTCGCTTGCGCTGTATATGATGCAATACGATGGCCTTACGCGCGGAAAGACGTACCTCCGTTTGCGATGTCGGAGGCTCCTGTTATACTTTTTTCTTCCTTATTAGCAGGAAAATCTGTTTAAGTGTCAAGTTACAAAATTGCCTTGTTTCTTCTCGAAAAAAAGGAAATAAGAGCAGACATTTTGAAGCATCGCAATGAAGATCCGTGGTTTCACACTTTAGTCATTAATAACCTCTTTCAATGATTCCGATGATAAAGTTGGAAAACACATCCAACTATATCAACACATCCATTTTACGATCCATAAAAGTTACATTCACTGTATAATTTTGGCAGACTCTTTTTCATTGTATCTGTATTATAAGGTTTTTCATCTCATTTTCATGATCTTATCATCACAAAAAATAAACGCATTAGTGTATACATTATTCCTTGCTCCTGCATTGCAAATTGACTGATAAAAATCTATTGCACCGGGTTTTAAACCGTTATGGCCGGTGACTAATAAATCATATAGCATATACAATGTTGGTTCCAAAAATAGAAAGCAAGCAGTAGGTAAAATTTCGTAGTTTTATCCACTTGAATTTTTATTTTTGAAATTTAAATCGATTCAAATTGTCCAAGAAAAATATAGCATCGGTTATTTCTCAACCAAAGATCCAGCTTCAAATCAAAAAAGGTAAACAAACAGGCTCATTAGCAGCGCATGAACGGATATCAACGGAGTACGAATGGTTGCATAGTCTCAGATTTGAAGGGGATTTAATCCGTCGCGGAGTCACAAAGAAATGAAGAATCACTCACAGCACAGATCCCCCTTATATTTAAAAGCAGGAATAAAAACACACAACATAATTTGTTCATTTAAAATCGGATAGTTCAATTCTCACTTAAACAATCATTGTGTAACCCTCTTTAAATTTACTTAGTTGAATTGCAATTTCGGTGTTTTGCGGAAAAGTCAGTAACATTCTTACTTGACGAAAGCAAGGAAGTTAAAGTTTTTCCTCTATTATTTTTACCAAATACTGCATGAATGAAGAAGCAGAATGTATGATTACTTTTTCTGAGAATACTTTTTTTAAAATATTAAATCACAATTTTGAAAGTTCGCAGAAGACAAATATGCAACCCATGTCCAAAAATTATAGTGATGAAATTTAACCATTTTTAACTGCCATGAGCAGACATTCCGAACTAAAATGATGCATTTTTAGAAAATAAAAGCATTAAAATGTATATTATTATTGCTGCATGCAAAATAGCATGGCCTCAGAGCTTTTTTTCTTTTAAATGAATCGTTTTGAGCATTTATTTTGAAATGTCTAGTTTAAGAAGAGGACGATTTCGGATTTTAGAAAAAATTGAGGATGAGTGGTAAGTATTGTCAAAATTGAGACGTGTGTCTCAATTGATACAAGATTCAAGTAAACAATCAAAAGAGTATATCTTGCTAAGTTCATTTTCCTTCACTTCTGAGAGTATGCAACCAAAAGGTCATCAGCAGTTTTTTACTCGTACTGTTACATCGTTCGAAGAGCGTCATATGCGAGCACCGCGCCATTATGATTGCTCCCTATAACATTGCGTTTCTTCTTTTAACGTGTAAAGAAATCCCCAAATTTTTTTGATGGGCCCGAATATTCTACATCCGTGACAGCTATCGCATACGTTATAACGTAGCACCCGATATCGAAACTCATGCATTATCTGTTTTATCAATTTATCGTCAATGTACAAGTTTTACATGTTAGTGTTACATTTTAATGCTGCTCCGATAAACAGAAATGATCAATAGTCTGAGACAGAAGTAAGAAAACCTTCTAATTTTACACGTGTGTCTATTTTTTCCCATCTCAGAAAAGTTTGTTTGACAGGTGTTTATGACATCGCTTGACTGACAAAATGACGTATAAATTATCTTTGAGATTATCCCGCTAAAACATCGCAGTGGTCTTGATGAAAGAAAGATTATGCGACAAAAATGTACCCAAAAACGGGTTTGCAGTGGGTGAATCGGTTTCAGGACATTCCGTCAACGATTTTTTGTCCGCGCACCTGTTTTGTCCAGTAGTTTACGTCCACGCGTAAAATATGCAACAGTGACTTGGTTCAAGCGTTATATTATAGTCTGTATGTAAAATTATATTGATAATATTGAAATGAGAAAACTGAGAGAGAAGGAGGTATTGTTATGATAACTCATTTTTTAAATGGAATGTTGCTTTCTTCTTTTGATTAATTTTTTCTAGCTGTCATCGGTGAATATTTGGTTTTATTTCTATCCTAACCGTAGTTGTCTTGAAAGAAATTATACAAAATCAGAATAAAAGAGGAAAAAACCGAGAAGCACGCAATCTTTTCTTTTAGCCCATTCATAAATCGATCTTTAAGAGTCAAATCCGTACAGTTTTGAGCATTTGGTTGCGCATACACGCTGCAGCACATTAAAAGCACGAAATGCAAAAGAAAACATTAAAGTGCTCTGGGAATCATTACATTTGACACGAAACCACCGAAATATTTACAAAAAACACATTGGGTTTTCTTTTAATACGTATTTTTTTCCCATCAATTTTGATGAGAATAATCCATGCAGATTGTGCAAACATTTCAAAATCATGAGTCGAAAAACGCTGACTCCGTGAGTTTAAATATTTGAGTCGAATACAGCGGAGCGGCGCGTGCTGCCAGCACGAAACGCGCATTGGCGCCTACAAACCTAACAGGGATACTTCACGCATTGCGCAATGCGTGAGGTATCCCTGTTAGGTTGGTAGGCGCCAATGCGCGTTTGGCCCTGGACGACCTCGCCCGCCGCGCCGCCGCGGCGCTTTAAGCAGCTGTTTCGCAACCAGGGTTTTGCACAGTTTCATACGAAATTGAAGGCGCTCCAACATAATAAATATGACAGCCATACTTCAATAGTACGGAGCTTTCCTCGAAAAATAAATCAAGATACTACGGCACAAAAAGAGAGCGGTTGTCCGAAAACTTACCCAGTCCTACCATCCATATTAAATAACTTCTAGCATAATTTTTGAATTTCATTAGAGAACCTAAAGTGACTTGATTTAGGCAGAAACATTCTTAAGTATGCCGTGACGAAGATTTCATTTTGAACCAATAATAAAATTGCTGAATGAAAGAGGGTTTCTGCTTGATGTAAGTGACTTTTCTTTAAATATAAGTATCTCTTTCTCTTTAAACAAGCATTATTTTCTTTTTTATAATTCATAAAAAAATCTTCTCTGCGGTTAATTTAAGCATATCTCCGTCAGAATCAAGTCACTTTTTCCGCTAATGAAGTAAAAAAATCATG